CTGAATAATTGGGTCCCGCACTTTCTCAGTGTAGGCGTCCTCATCCTTTCTACCTCCCTTTCGTCCTCTCGTCCTTCCTCACCCGACTTCACCAACCTCGCTCGAAAGACTCTCACTTTAATGCACTTATTGTTAATGCGATTCCGCCGGGTTTTCCGCCTGATGGTTACCTACCTTTCGTTGACAACGCAACATCGTTTACTCCGTCGCTGCAGCGACGTATGTATATCTACATGCCTTTTTCATCTCTATCCATTCCAGGTCTACACACGCCAGAAAAATTGGATTTGGAATGTCGAGAGTTCAGATATTCACGAGAAAATTCTCAAACCGCAAGAAATTACGCCACACCCAGATTTTTTATTTTTGCATAGATAATATTCTCTAATCCAGTAATTATGTATATATATATATATAAAAACTTTGATTATTCTTTTTAAATAATTAAAATGATATAAAATTAAAGAATTAATACATTCTCGCTAAACTAATGTATATCAAAGTTTTTTGTTTTAAAAAATTTTTATTTTGTTCTTTACTCTTTTCCTGTGATTGCTTTTTCTATAATGTTACAGAGAAAAAGAAACTTGCACATGTTGCATGGTGAATTATACTTTAAATAAAATTACTCTTAATTTTCTTTAGCTCAGAAATTCACGTGACACGTCGTTGCAGTCGACAAAATCCTAATAAAAATCATAATGTTTTATGCGAGACAAAACCGACGATTGCCAATAATGGGGAAAGCCCGAGAACAAAGGCTCTCGTCGGAGCGAAATAACAACGACCAAGGTTTTCCCTCGGCCATTCATTTTCCATTTTATAGCCGGCCGCAACGGTAAACGCGCGCGTGCCTGCGAAATCCGAACCGCATAAAAGCACTCCATTCAGTCTATAATGCGCTGTCATGGTCCACGCCACCGCGAATTCAGCTGCATTGACGGAACCTTTTTTTTTTTTAGCGGAACTTCGGGGCGCAGTGGAATAAAAAAATGCGTACCCGACGATAGGTGTAAAATATGTAGCAGCCGCGTCGTCGGAATAGAAACGAATAAAACGGCAGGACCGACGAGATCCGGTGTAAAATCGTTGGTCGACGCGCGCTTAGTGACAGATAATGCGGGTATTATACGAAACGGACGATGCTCGCCATCGATCTCGATCTGCCTCGCGCGTGATTGCGTTAATCGGCTTAACGATCGCCTGCACGCCGGCCAAACAAATTGCCCGTAAGCGACGTTTCCTCGTACATCCTGCATATAGTCCTGTACGTCCCGACGCGACGTCACCGCGATACTGACATGGCGAAAGAGGATTTTCGTTTAGAGTTGAGTAGGAAACTTGTATACACGATTCATCGTAATGCAAGCGGTGCATCTTAATCCAGAGTATCTTTTGTATATTTTCCGACCGTTCGATTGTCGCATTCAAAGATAGAGTATGAACTGCATCATCCATATTTAAATATATTAAATGTGATCAACAAAAATGAGAGAAAAAGAGAGAGAGAGATATACAGAGAGAAGTAGCATGAAGATGGCCAATCTCCTCCTCTTTCTAAAAAATTATGATTAATCGAATAGAATGAAATAGACCTTGGCCGTTTTTGTTATCTCCATTATTTTTGTCTTTATGACTAAACACTTAGCTAATTTTTTTTTAATCAATTAACAGTTTTACAGCAATACGTATCAGTAGCAAAAAAATTCAATTTTTTTCTTTTTATTTTTCTGTAAAATTGAAATTAGTGTTAATAAATATTATTTTGTAAAAAGTGCATTAAAATTAAAATATGTATATATATTGAAAGTTAAATGGCATATTCATATTTGCGTAAAATGTTATTCAAGTTTGTTATTCTATAAATAATGTTCTGTAAATTTCTTTTATTACATTTTAATTAATATTGTTAAGATTTTAATTAATTATCAACATACTTTCTTTTAGGAGAGAAATATTATAAAAGGCACTTTTGAAATTATGTGTGTATTTTAATATTAATACATTTAATACGTTTTGCAAAATTGTATTTATATTGACTCAATCCTTGTATATAAGGAACTAACATTTGCGTAATTGGACTAATGTCAAACTCGAAACTTGGAGTGTTAGTTGTAAAACTCATTAGCACGGGATGCCAACTAATTTTGATAGAATTTCTTGTTAAGCGATTTGCTAAACGGCTCTCATGATTTATGTCAAAAGATTTGTATCAAACGTTTTCAACAAGATGTCACTTCAGCAAATATGATTAAACAGTAATTAACTGCTATTATGACGGAATTATAAAAATTGATTGGATTAAATTGTTTGGATTTTGATTAATTGTATGAATCTTGTTTTTTTAATTTTATGTAACTCTTCAGTTCGATTTCAAAGAAATAAGAAAATTGAATAAAACTAAAATAATATTAGAATTAGAACAACTAGAATAATTCCTTTTTTTTATTAAAACTAAGAGCACTTGAATAATTTTTGACCTCTGAACCGTCATAAAATTAAATATTATATTTTCTATAAATTGTTATGTCATTTTATGTTTTTCTATTGCATTTTTATCACAAACAAACTCAAGTAATAAATAACAAATTTTTTTATTTTAAGAACATTTAATAGTTTATCACTATAATATATATGATCATGGTAACGATTATATAATTTTTTCTCTAGGGCAGAAACGTGAAAAATGGAAAATTTTTCCATTACCTACAATAATAAAAATTTTCATTTTTCACATTCCGTTTCATGGAAAAAGTTACATAATCACTATCCAGAATCGTAATAAAAAAGCTACTATATTAGATTATATTTATAAATTCATTTTATATTCAGAAGTAATTAAATTTAAAACATTTATATTCTCGATTCTGTATTATCAAGCATACCGTTAGATGATCCTAACATTCCTAACAGATACTGCTAAGACATTTTGGTAAATTAGACCAGTAGCAAGGATAGTAACTGGATCCTTTATTCGTGTATCGGATGCAAAATCGAACGCAGGAGGATGGTGGCAATATTTTAGGTGCTGACGGACGACAATATGATTTTGAAGGTAATCGTTGTGGACAAGGTCCAGCGATACATATAGTAGGTGGTCTTGGCGGCGGCTCTGGTTTTGGTTTACGTATCTTTAAAAATAAATTCTGATATTGTAAAGAATATATTGTTATAATTTCTTTATGTCTACCTATGTGTATAATGCATCCTTCTTTATTTGATTAAAAGCAAGATAAATCGTATTATTATTGTATCATAAAAATTGTAAAATAAAAGTTATTTGCGTCGATTTTACTTGCACTATATTAATTAAATTCTATTTATTTAATATTTGTTCTTAAATTTTATTTAAGGCAATTGTATAAGTTATATAAACTATGTAAAATTCATGATTTTAATATCTTTAAAAAATCAATGTTATTTATACCAATGGGCACGAAGGTGGAGAATATTTAGGAAGTCTTGGTTTTGAGGACAAACAGTTATTGTTTATACAATAAAATTGTTTGCGGTGATAACACGGTGGAGGCAATGTACTTGGTCGTTTCTTCTCATTGTAAGCAGTGAAGCAAGACATTTTTATTTTTTACTTGAAAAATTTAGACATTACATTTTATCAAAATTTCTAAATATCTTTGTCAAATCGATTAACAATCTTTTGTTTGAGAAAATCATTCCTTTTTATAATATACTCTGTGTAAAATTGATTTTTAAGTATGATCTTAAAATAACTTTTTAGAATTTTCTAAATTAAAATTTTTTTATATTTTTAAATTAATTACATTAAAATACTTTATTTCCTTTCTTTCGAGATAATTTCTTTTCTAGATAATAATAAATTTCTCACCTCTGATATAATTATTAATTGATTACTTATAATTATTTTGACATGTTAAAACTGCTTTTCCAGTACAGTCAAACCACTTGAGACAACAGCATGTTACTTTCTTCGACAGGAAAACGACAGCGTGGAATAGCAGGAAAATAACAAGGCGAATAAGAGATTCTATAAAGAATAAGTAAATATGAAAATCGTTATAAATATTTTTAATTCTTTTAATTTTATATTATTTTGTATAGCCTTAGTCTATTTTTAAACATTATCTAAATGCATAAAGCAAAATTGTTAAAAATTTAATGCAGCTATCAAGCTATTCGCTTAATATAAAATGTATAAGAATTTTATGTAACATACCTGTCACAAATATATGTAAGCTGGAATTGAACAGCAGATCCATAAGGACGAGGTGATACGTCAAATAAATATTTCGGGCATACATAATCATTACGGCGTAATTTTGGAGAACATTGCGAAGGAAGACTAGATGGAAATTTTGCGAAAGCGTCCTCAAGATATGTTAATTTTAATCGTAATATGTTGCACTTTTCTACAATCTAATTATTTTTTGAAAAACATATTAATTTTAATTGGACAAATATCATATGTCAATGTCAATTCATATTGCAGCTTGTGGTTTTGCATTATCATGAATTTGGCGAGATTGCATATTATATCATAAATTAATAATATCCCAATAATTTATTTTCAACATGAAAAAAAGATTCTTTAATTAAACATAGAAACTGTTGTCATATATTACTTTCTTATATATATCACTATCTATTAAAAGCTATACTTAAAATATATAGACTATATTAATCTCTGTATTTTTAGTGTATTATAATTAATGCTGTTAGTAACATATGCTGTTAGTAATAATAATTTATATTATCAATTGCTTAACAAAGTGTATTTTACAAAATGTAATCTTTTAAGTTTTATATTTTAAGGAGGGACAGCATTAAAAAATAAAAATATCTTAAACATGGAGCATTAAATAAATATTGATACTTGCATAATTGGAAAGAAAAAAGTCATCTCTTCTTCATCTCTTGTGTAATCAGTATAAAGATAAATGTATATCGAGGAAATTGATGAGATCGACACCTCTCGTTAGAAAAGTGCATATTTTGTGAAAAAAAAGGAAACAAAAGGCATATTCATAATCACAACAGATATTATATAATAAACCGTATTTTTACAGTGGCAGATACAATGTAAAATGAACAAGGATACCTTTACGAAATATACACGCATTAAGTCGTATGTTGATCCAGGAATCGACCGGCGATACTATGTACAACACAACCACGTAAGCGTGCGCGATGTACCATCCAGCTGGCAGGCAACGCGGTTGCACTTTTGAATTTGGCACGCGGTGCATCTATTCGCCTATATCCTTGTCCCGGCGTCTCTCTCTAAGTACATGTACGTGTATATGTATATGTATATGTGTATGTATGCCACTGTTGTCCGCTTGTCTAAATGCATTCGCCTTCAGTCAAACGAGACACCGGAACGCGTCTTGGCTGATCTCCTAACTTCCCAGAAATGAGAAGAAAAAGACGTCTAACACATTGAAACTCGTTGATCGCTTCGATTAAAAAGTTATAAAAAAGAATTCAACCTCCAAATAAATTATAGACGTCGTAGATGTAGAGACTAGCCAAGACGCCGCTATCGCTCCTCCTCGATCCTAGTCAAATGAACCGTGTAAGTTAGCGTACATCGACTAAGAAACGTAAAAGGAAAACAATAAGTACATAAACGTAATGTTACAACGAATTATGTTGTATTATATATATGTACACGTTTTTCTTTTCATACACTTCCTCGGGAAATGTACGAGGAAAATAACTGGAGAAACGGAAGAAATGTCAGTCCGAAGAAAATAAAAAAAACAATAAAAGTTATAAAGATGAATAAAGGAGAAGACATCGACAACGTGCGTCGATTAGCAACGATCTCGCTAACAACGATCTACGTGTGTTAATATTTAAGTACATTGATTAAACGACATTTTTTTCATAAGTACCACAATAAGTACCTAAGCGATCGCTTCCTTATGTGCTGCTTTACAATTATTCGTTTAACTTCCTCTTCTCGCTTAACTTTATTCCTCCTTGTTACCTTTTGATTTTCGGGACGGACGGAAGGTGGCTCGAAAAACCAAGTCCATTTTTGCCGAACAACTCGCAATGAGGACGGCGATTTTTCTTATCGTAGAAATCGTATCGTTCGATTTACAATTGCCAATAATAATTTCTTTTAATCGGTTATCCAATTTAGTTAATTACAATCGAAGCAATAATACTTTAACACTTTGTCTGTATGGAAAAATAGTAATATGCTTCGATATTTAGCATGACTAAATAAATTACGTTTCGATGCGAGTTAACGACATCAAAAATCGCGCAATCAAAACGATGCTGCATAAATAAATTTGTATTGCGGAAATATTTACATATATTTACGTATTCATTTGTTAAAATTACTACGCGTGACAATCTAGTACTCTTAAAAATTATCCAAGAATAGAGACCATCACCAAACATATAATTTATATAACTTATAATTTACAATTTATATTTAATTTATAATTTACAAGTAAGCTGCAGATCTCTCTTTCATGATGCAGAATCGTAACATCATCGTCTCTCCATATCGTTTTTATAAAATTATAAAATACTATTATATAGTACAATTCGATTATTCGCTTCGATTGAACTTGAGAAAGAATTTCTCTCGTCTCATTGCTGAGTCGCCGGCTTAACAAATGACATACGCTCTCTAAAACTTCTTCACTCTCCTCACTGTCGCATTACATTTTAAATAACTAATCTATATACAATGCATACATACACGCCTCAATTATCCCTCTTGTAATATCTCCCTTGGCCTTCCTCGACGTTTACCCTCGATCCGTTTCGAAAAACCGAAAGTGCAGCGATTAACTTGAAAGACAAAAAGCTGCGAGGCGCAATACTGATATCTCACGGGATACTATCAATTACTATATACACGAGACTGAGGAAACTCCTTCACTCGCTACGATGTACATAGCTGAGCGCAATCAGATCGTAGATATGAACTCACACTTGAGAATCGGCTCGATAAGCGATTTTCGCAACTATTATTATTACAGAGCGGAAGCACCGTCTAAACTCTCGAAAAAGGTATTGTATTCCGCAAGCGATTCTCGTGCGAAAATTTCTACACGTCTTTCGTCATCCCGCTCCTCGGTCCTCATGATAAATGCGACACGATCGTATGTATAATAGACAACGATAGTGTAAGACATATCTCCGCTAGTCTTTAACAACTAATCTTAAGTAATTTACGGGGTGTTTTTTACCGGCTAATACGGGACGATAGAGTCTGTGGTACCCGAACTCACGATCACTCATTCTGTACTACCACGCGGTGCGATGACCTTGAGCAAGTTCCTCACGATACTTCGTAATCCGTTTGACCCTGTTCGCTTAAGTACTAGCCACTTCACATCAATATCACAGTCTCCTCATAGATGTTAACCCCTACTGCATACTCTACGTTCGGTAGAACATATCTATCCGTTTGAGTCGGGTGAGCTTGTCGGAAATGCAAGTCTTCCTGTGGAAGGTACGGTTACCTCACTTCGTGATTCAGGTCACGATTCGATCACGAAGTGACAACTACCCTATATATTTTTCTTTTCTGTTTTTTGAAAAAAATAACAGTAAGGGTGCAGCGTAATCTTGAGTGCATACAATTTCGTTTTTCATGCAGAACGACGATAATCGCTCAGTTTGAGCCTAACTCTACTCAAGATAATTAGAATATCCAATTATAATATCGCGTGATAGACATTTAAGTGTAAGATATTATCCGTACTGTCGGGAATTCTGCTTATACGCGTACTTCGCGACATCTATTGCTTCTATTTAAACGGCTGACGAGATGTAGCCTGTTATTATCGGTGCGTCAAACTTTGTGTCCCGTGTCACGTCACTCGGGCGTTTGCTTATGCGTATATGCGTGTGTTATTTTTATTCTTACTGAGGTCGTTAAGGCTGTGCGCGTATATACTTATCTATCTATTAAGTATATTTTACGCTGATATTTTGTGCTGGTTTAGTTCGCTCCTATCGTCGTTGCTACTAAGCGCCAATTTGACAAGAAAAATCTATGCGCTCCTTCGATCCAGTTTCTAAATGGATCTCACGATAAACTGAGGTGCAATCAAAAAGTTCCCGAACTAATGCTGCGAGAAAAAAAAACCATCGGTAGTACAGGGATAGAGTAAAGACCGCAGACCTTATAAGTCAATATGCCATGTAGTAATGTTGTAATTATTGAATATAATATTGCTCGCGATTTTGTTCATGAATTTAAGTGCTGTATGAGAGAGACATAAAATTGGAGCAAAGCGTATATAGCGCCAAGTTTTGCATGAAAACATCTCCAAATTTGTCAAATATTTATCAAACCATTCGATCAAATTAATCTATTCTTTCGTGAAGACCGTAAGAGAACTAATTTGAGAACTGTAATTTTTAAAATATTTTTAAGAGTTGTCTATGCTACACACAAATTTTTTTCTAGTGCTTTGTTTTTTTTTCCAAAGACTTATAGAAGCATTTAGATGATTTTATAAATATTTTTAGCCTCATGGAAAACTTCCACTTACACTGTTTCAATTAAACATCATCAAACGTTTCCTTGAGCAATTTTTGTTCGCGTAAAATGTCCATGACACTATAAATTTACATTTTTTTCTAGTGATTGTTTCTAAAAGTTTGTAGAAGCATTTAACACCTTTAACACTTGACATAAAATTTGCATGCGTTACTTCAATTTTCCATTTATCACCACAATTGCAGATAGACATTTAAATTGTCGAATAAAATTGGCAAACAGCATAACGCTCAATAATTGCAACATCATATTATTGGCATATTGACTTGTGAGATTTATTTCCATGTTCTGGAACATTCTTGTACTATTGCTAGTTTCCTATACTACCTAACCATTATACTGGTTTTCCGCCTTGCGATATCAGTTCGAAACTTTTAATGACACTTTGCATACCCCATTGCTACCCATTCGGAAACTTGATCAGGTCGAGGATACGCGACTCACGTGTAATACTTTCGATTGTGTGCAAGGTCGGAGCGCGGGCGGACGTGTTGCCGCTATGTGCTTGAGTGGAAATACTTGGCGACACTATTGATAAACTCCTGACGCTACAACTGCACTTGGAACGCCTGGGTCGCGTTCGGCATAATAAAGGGATTCGTCGTGGTTGACTGCTGCATATTTCTGGAAGCTATTTCTGCCCATTCGACGTCAAAGGGATCAGAAGGTCCTCTGGAAGTCAGGCTCATTGCAGCCGAACCAAGCGAATGTGCCCTGGTATGAAGAGGAGGTGCTCGTCGAGGACTAACAGTTACTTGCTGTGGTGCCGGTGATGGTACAGAGCCAGTTATACTACCCAACCATTGTTCTGGTTTCGGTAAACCAGCTGCTGTGGAAAGCGGTTGCACCTGTTTGATGGAGAAACTCGTGAAAGAATGTCTTGGATCAAAAATTTACGTTGAAATTTACGTTATAATATAATAAATAGAGCCAAGAAGCTGATTTTTATATTGACACAGTAAAAAATGGAACGAGAAGCTTTAAAAAAGTAAAATTCAATACATTAAATATCCATCTTAAAAAGCTTTCAAAGCATAATGTTCTTAAAGAATATAATAATACTGTATTTCAACCAAATTTTTTTGTTTAAAAGTTTCCTGTAAAAATTTAAATAATTTTAATAAGGAATTTTTACTGTATATTTTAGATTATCAATTAATATATATACTTTACAATTATGTATATATACTTATAAAATATTAATTGATAAATAATTTAGAAAAGTATAAGTAAAAAGTGTTTATATATTACAGCATCGGATTTTTATTTAATCTTGTTAATATAAATTTAACACAACTAAAAAGTACTTAAATAAAAAAACTTATTTATGTATATAGTAAGTGTTTAACTTACTAAAGCCGTCGGGATTCCAGTTGCCGATGAGACTTGAGCGACATCAGTTGGTACCGCCGGGGAAACGGATGCTACGCTGGTACTAGGAGAACTTGTTTTTGGCGTCATCGCGGAATTTATTGGGATCGGCGATCTGTTCACGGCCGGCGTAGACGTATTTCCTAAAGAGGATGTAGAAGCCGTGCTGAAAGCAGGACTTGCTGCCGATGGCGGCGTGCCAAAGGCACCTACACTAGAGGAAACAGGTGCCGGTGTGCTCATAACGACTGGAGTGGGCGCGTTCGTCCTTGGAAGAACGGGACTCAAGTTGCTCGCCTTAAGGATAGGCGTGAGCCTGTGATTCGACGTGAGAACGGGGGATGCGGACTCTTGCCAACTGGACGCTACATGATTCAAATTACTGAGCTCTTCATTCTTGTCGTTGTTATCGTTGTTATTGATATTGGGACCATTCTGCAGTTTCATCTCATCCAACGAGTTGCTACTCGTTACTAAAAAAGGATGATAATTTATTTATAAAAATTACAATGCGTATGATCTCTTGAAGGCGTCGTCTATATGAGATTATTGAGGTAGAGGATGAAATAAGTAACTCACAATTTTGTTAAAAAGTCATACCTGGAGGAGAGTTAATAGTAGTGGTACTGGTGAAAAGCTGTTTAGCTACGGAGCTCGCGGCAGATTGAGATGACGGCAATGGTCCAAAGTCATCGCTGCTCGAAAGCAGAGAAAGTCCTTGAGAAAGCTGCTGACACATCGCGGAAACGCTGTCGTGATCACCAGGAAATATTTCTGGTATTGGACTCACTACGAATAAACAGAAGATATGACGTTTATTAATATATTCAGGACATCTCAAATTTTGTGACATGGGTGCTAGGACGCATTCTACAAGAGGCATGCTACAGGACACCTAAATGAATGTATGTTGGGTTATATAGTATAAAGTGAGAGTATATAGAACGATGTAAGTTATATATGAATATTATTTCAAGCACAAACAAAATAAATACACGAGAGGCGAATTCAAATTACAAGGGTTCTAACTACACGCTCGTATAGTGTCGTGATACCAGTTTATGTCTGTTAATTTAATTATACAATGAACCGTGTGCATGGAAAACGAGCATGTTCAAGGATACATCGATAAGCAAGCAACAATAAAGAACAGAATAAGGAATAATGACCTTCGTCATATCCTTCGAATTCTGTTGTAAGACAAAGAAGTACATCGTTATTTATTGGTCAGATTGATTTAAACTAATAGCACACAATCAGCGTACTTGTGCGTATCATATGTTGTAACGTATTCTCTCACTCGTTAAAGCTTAATTTAATAAAATTGTAAATAAAATGGAAATGAGATGTTTCAGTGACGTGAATGCTCACCTGGGGGCTTCGAAGGTACAACATGAGCTGAAGGCATTCGCGCCAAATCTGTTGGCTCAAGACTGTGACTACGTGTGCGTTCAAGAGTACTAGGAAGATCGTTGACTCGTAGACTGAGTTGCCTTTTAAAGGGGGATGCTTGACTTAGCTGTGAAAAACCTCGGAAGGAACCTTGCCGCTCCAGCATAGATAGAGTAGCGTGCGGCCTCTCAATTGCAAAAGGATTGTACACTTGCCTAACTGGAGGAATTTCTGTAAAACATAAATATTTTATGTAAATATTGAAATATCAGAAAAAAAATATATTGCCAATGAGCAACTTTTTATGATCTATAAAAAGATAATACGACATATTAAAAGCAAAACATTTAAAACATTTGAAACGTTGAAAATATATTTAGTTTTAATTTGTTCGACAAATTTAAACTTTTTTTATATCATTAAATAAGCGAATAAAATGATCTACATTACATTAATTATGCATAGATAATTATTCAAATCGTATATACGGGCCATTATCATTTTCTGTTTTGTTCAATGAGATGATGAATAGGAGAAAGCATTAGTTTAACTCACGAATTAAATTTTAGACAATACTGAACTTCGTGCCTGACAAAAAGTCCAGTACTTCACGCTTTTGAAATGTATAGTACTATGAATGCGTTTCGAATTACGTGAAGCGCATGAGATATCATTTTTTTTCTTCTTTATTCTTTATTCTTCGGAACAACAAAGACAAATGATCATACGCTTTGTGCGTAATTGCACCCTAGGACCGTTGAATCATAAAACCATTGAGCATCAAAGAAGAAGAAGAAAGCTTCTTTTTTTTTAATTTGTCTATAACTTTATTTATAAAGCAGCCAACACAACAGATGACTTTTAAAAATTTATATAACCCACCTGCTGCACGATCACGCGCTTCTTGTAACCGCTCCGCGAGATTCGGTTGCCTAAAGCTGCCACTTCTCGTGAAGATGGAAGTCTTCGAATCAAAAGTCATTGTAACTCCGCATTCTTTGTCTCTTCGTTGCTTCCTCTCCAGACATGCAGCAAAGGCGCAACCTACTGCATGACTCAATCTTTCTCCCTTGATGATAAAGAATAAGTCCATTAAGAAATGCCTTCATTATCCTCATGTGAAAGTCTTTTAAAAACTAATATGCTATTTATATTTTTAAACAAAATAAGGTAAACCAAGATTTAAAATATACATGTTATATCGTAAACAGAAAGATGTATGTAAATTTCGACAGCAATAGATGATCCTAATAAATAAATTAATAATAAATTATTGCCGAGTTGACATTAAACTGATCGACTCAGAGTTGATGACAAATTCGCCAGCAATAAATTCGTATTTTGCTAGCAAAACCTGCGTATTAATCAGACAGCAAATTGACAGTAATCGAGCAAAACTTTAGTTGGTTTTGCTTTTGGTCGATTCTTGTCGTCAATTTGCTGTCAGGCTGTCAGTAAGCTTTATAAGATTTTATCAATTTATTCTCATAATACATCAGCAGATATCTGTTATCAATTTGCTGACATTATTAAATATAATAGAATTCACATTAAATTTGATGCTTTTTGATATTTATAGCAAGCATTTAATAAAATTTGTTTTTGATACACTTGGTTGACTGGGATAGGACGTATTACAATGAATTACAATTTAAAAATTTTCAATTACACAGAATATCATATTAATATATTTTTAATAAATCTATTAGTAATTAAGTACGCATTAAAATTTAATTATATTGAATCCTTATGTTGTTATTATATCATATACTATCTGATGCTGTGCAATGCTATATTCGCAATTATAAAGCCATAAGAAAAATACTCTCATTATTCACATAAAAGTGTTTTAAAAATTAATATTATTTATATTTTTAATCTCAAAATATGACTAAAATATACACATTATATTATAAATAGAAAGATATATGCAAATCTTAATAGCAATATGTAAAAATAGAACATATTTTACAATTTTTACAAAAACTTTCAAAATAATAATTATCAATAAATCTATCAGCAATTAGGGACGCATTAAAATTAAAATATATATCTTATATTTAGCTATTTTAGGTTATCATATACACATATTTATGTTATCATCACCGCACCGTTTGATGCTGCATATATTCGCAATTCGAATCAATGAACACCCCTTATCGACAGAGTATATAGCATCCCTTATATATATTGAGGATAATTTTCTATTAGAATGAAATGAAATGGCATCTGACTTACCGATTCCTTTAATGCTAAAAATCCATGACACATCCATCGCCTTGTCGTGCCATCCCTACAAATGTAACTAAATCCTTTCTCGTGATTCCTATCCGGCGCACAGAACGACACCTTTTCGATTGTCTGATCGACAATCAACCCTTTCGTTTCGTCCTCAACAACACGCAATCCGTCACCGGATACATGAAGTATCGCCCGTACTGGTCTTCTTCTTGAGTTCTGAAAATTCAGTCACGAATTAACTCGGTCGTCCGAAGTTGTCCTTTGACCTTTACACCGATTTATTTTCAGGTCGCTTTGGTGTCAATGTCGACTCTTTATATGTAAGCCGTGCTAAATATAGTCGAGGCGAAAGACTCAGAGAATATGACGCGCTTGACTTTCGCAAGGCTTATAAAACTTCCTACAGAGCTTCTTGAATATTGGAAATGGAAAGTGCTTTATAAAAGAATAGTTCAGTTACTTTTAGAAATTATTTATTCTTATATACATAAAAAATTTACTGGATAAACTATATATGACGAATGATCATATGCTCGCGTGATGTAGATGGTTAATTATAAAAGTTAATGCTTTCAACTGATCCACAAACAAATCGTATTAATTTTTCAACAGAATTATTTTATATAAAATACTTACACGGAGAACTTTAAGGGCCTCCTCGCAAACTTGCATACCCCTCGATTCAAAAACTTCTACACATCCTAGATACTGTTAAAAAATCAATTAAATTATTTATCTATTAAAGTAGAATAATTTTTAAGCTTAAAGTAGACTTTTGTAAGATTTTTATTTAGGAAAATTAATGTTTAATATTAATGTAGCAAATTAATATTAATTATAAAGAATTACTCTCTCTATAAAATTATACATTCTTGAAAAAGAAACTGAATTAATAAAAAATTTAATTATTTTAAACATTTATAAGTAATTCTATGTAAATAATGATTTCTGACAATATTAATCTGAGAATTAATTAATTAATGATTTATATTTCTAAAGCGGAGAATTATTAAATAACTAAAATGTTAGCCATAATGCTGACTAAATAAAGAAACGCCAATTAATTCTGAATCCATTTTGAATAAATCCCCCATCTTTTTAATAAATTATCATAATAATTCTAATACTGATTAGAGATAATTACTATAATTAGTGCGCACACTTGGTGTTGTTATTAACTTTTACCTTAACATGAAAAGCGCATGTAGCTGAACGCACTGCACTTTCATCCGCTTGCCATTGATGAGGTTTACTAGACTCGGGCACATGAGGGTCTTTCCGCCGCCGGAAGCTATCTCGGAAGCTTCGTCGAAGCCGATCCATTCTTTTCCCCGGCGACCTCTCGCGCTTCTGTAATAGCGAAATATAAAAACGTTTTATTTCCTACAAGCTTTGAGCAATAAATAGTATATAACAAAGAACTTTTTCTTAGATATGACAAAAAAATGATTTGTCCACGAATAAATATAGAGTTGTCAGATGCTAATTTTTTATTGTTCACTCGCACAAAATCATTTAATATTCGCAGAGATATAAACAAGATATTAACCTAAAACATTAACAATATATTTATTATTAAAATAAAAATAAGAATACATATGTAATATTATATAGAAAATATACATTTACAAATCTAATAACTTCTTATCTTTATACAAATATTAAAAGATATATTAAAGATTTAAATGTACATATACATAATAATTTGAAAAATTGTAAATTATTTAAATATTTTGTAAATATTTTAATATATACTTAATCGTTTATCAAAAGAATTGAAAATATATTTCTTAAATTTTGTACGAGTTTTAAGTTGTGTGATAAATATAGTTAAGTAAAAATGTCTTTTAAAAAAAGTCAAGTAACATATTATGATTTATCAAAAAAAATTTAAATAAGTTTTAATTTGGATACAAATGTTAATAATGTTGCTGAGATTACGTATCATTTGCTCATGCATTGTCAAAATTGTAAGTAATTAACAAAGATCAGTAGGGAAGCCAAGTCAGTAGGGAAATCTCGAAATTGGATCAAAACAGCAAACACGATGCCCACAAGGAACGACATTTCTGTCAGTTCAAATTATCTTTTAATAACATTCAACATCGACAATGTAATCAGTCAAGGCAAAGCCGCGAGTAAATTCTCAAGGGATGTGTTCAGGATCCACCCGATGAATCGTTAAGAGTGGAGCTTGAGAAAATGTCCAAAACGGCCACTGTCTGGCAACCGTTGCGCCGAATCGCCAACTTGACAAAGCCCTGTGATCGAATCTTGAGACCCGTTCCCAAAGAATCCTTTATATCGGAACCCTCCTTTATATCGAGTCTCCCCTAACACCGACCGCGGATCTACCCTCCGAATTGGCGACACCCCTAAGAGCTAGTCGACGGATTGCGAATGGAGACACGTTAAGACCTTTCTCATTCATGCTCTATATTCTATTCTTTTCCTTCGTCATCGACATCTCCCTCTGCCATGTTTCTCTATCTGACTTTGCAAGGTTAATTGAACGGTGTTATTGATCAGAAATATCATGACTATACCTAGATTTTCATATTATTAAAAAATAAATACGAATTAAAATAATCGATTTTAAAAACGTCCTATTTACATTAATACCATACGATATGATACTCATCCTGATCATCATTTCCAATTTTTCTGATCGAATTTTTAAAAATCATCTAGATATATTACAATAATTTAATTACCTCTTTTTCCCTTTATTTCTGCGAAAACAGTACACATACAGTATACATACATATTTTCGTAAATTATGATTGTACTGTATCAAATTAACACATGTATATATGCATTTGCGCGAGGTACTGTTCTAGAGAGTTCGTAGACAGACGATGATTAATGATTGGCTTAATTATCTACTTGTGGAAGATACACTACGCAGTAATAGGTATTTATTAAAGCATACAGAATATATTAGTTAGACTATTCATTTTCTCTCAGGATTAAATATCTTTACTAATATCTTTTTAATTTTTAAAGTAAATTTTTATTAGCCAAAACTAAATAAGAGTTCTTTATTTGTCACAGTTATTTAATTTTAACAATAATTTTTTTAATAAATTCTCAAAATAGGTATATATTAAAATATATTTAGATTAGCACAGAAACAGAATTTAAATAACTACTTTTTAAGTTTTAAAATTTTTGCATCTTAAATATTAAATATACAATATTAAGAGTGTAATTTAATTATTTTATAAAATGTGTGCGCGCGCGCGCGCGCGCGCGTGTGTGTGTGTGTGTGTGTGTGTGTGTGTGTCAATAAGAGAAAATGTCTAAACTTTTCAAAGAATTTAAAATAAAAAGAAATATGTTAATATACGAAATTCTCCAGCGTACTCTATATTTGTGATATCACTCGCACGTGTTTTGCACAACTGGTCGTATAGATAGGATTCTACGAATGACATCATATTAGATGACATGCACATGTATTCTAACTTGGCGATGGATGTCTAGATATTTACTCAATGCAGTTAGGGATGTTACTCATTAGAACGTAATTAGAACTTTATCGAATTAGTTAGCGAACTAAACTAATAATGCGAAATCGTGAGACTAAACAAACTCACACTTATACAAGTGCACATAGATACATACTAATTTTCGCCTTATGATCCTATTCCTATTTGAATATAATCGTAAAAAATCAAGAAGCACTTAAGTCAACAAACTTAAAATCGTTATTGAATATATGTATCATTATAGAATATTATGCAAATCTTGCATATGTTAAATTTATTATTTCACATTATATTATGTGAGATAAATTTCTGAAAATCTTATGAAAATTTCTGAAAATTTCTGAAATCTTATATATAGCTTCGATAATAAATTAGAAAAATCGCTGTCTTATCTCACCCTCGAAATATACCTATAAGGGCACGTTGACCCAACTTACGCCGCTCCAGATAATGAATATCGGCAAGAAGATCTAAATACGTCCCCTACGACCGCATCTCCTAAATAACTCCTTCTGGATATGACATGGGAACAGTTATTAAAGAAGACGCATACATTTTGGATTCGTTCCATTTAAACACGTCTTTTAACGAATAATTTTTATTTAACTAATTCAGACGGTAAGTAGTTTTTAAAAGATGATTTTAGTAATTAAATATATTAAATCCAAAATTACCAACTTGATATACGCAATAAACAGAAGAAATAGCAGGTAAAAGGTGCTTCAATCTTAAAATATTTAAATTACTTCTTTCCAGAATCTGTGTGAATATCATATGAATTGTTGAATTATAAACTAGGAAATATAAAGTTTAAAGTTATTTTTTAATTATACAAAATAACACAAGTAATTACTGATCGAATACAAATAGAAAACGCGTTGAAATAGTATTTTACACACAATAAAAGAAGTAATATATAATAACTATTATTTTAGAATCGAGGCCAGACATACGCAAGACATCTTCTATAAAGGATACGATCTGCTCGTAAAAGTCACTTTCACTTCAAAGACCGCATATTGCAATCATGTGAGTCTCCATCGGGCAATCGAAATAGAAATGAAAAGAATTGAATGTGAGGTAAAGTACATAAAATAAATTTAATCGGTGAATTTATGAAGCCAAACAACTATGTCATATTGTATTTAATAAAAATTACAGAACAAAACCATATAAATACGCAATCAATAGGAGATGTATGCCTTTAAATAGTTTAGCTGGATCTTAAGCTCTCTCTGTTCTCTCTCTCTCTCGCTCTCTCTCTCTCTTTCTCTCTCTCTCTCTCT